GCCTATGGTGTAATCTGTCCAAAAATACATAGGCGTACATGACGGAACCAGTGAGTACCAGTATTGGTACTCACGGCGTGTGTGAACAACATAAGAAATATTTCTCGTAATGAATTACGATGTTTTTTGGCTATCCTTATTTTATCTGGATATAACGTTTTACCGGGTCGTAAATTCTATTGGGATGGAAACGATGATATGACTAACTATATGGTGAAAATGCTATACGACGAGATAGATTTTTAGAATAAAATTGGTAAATTTTGAAATATATCAAGATAAAAATATTTTTTCTTCTGATGATGTTGAAAAATATTTTGGAAAACCAACACCATTTTACTACATGAAGATTTATCATCTCCCAAAAATAAATTACCTTATTCATTTTTTGATAATGCAGTTATAACTATGGCCTCAATTGGTTATGGTGTCAATCCAAAAAATTCGGTTAAGAGATTTTCACGTCAAGAAAAAAAAACTTGTGCAAGTTCCTCGTCCATTAGTTGTTTCTACCTATAATAATAATATGGGTGGTACAGATTTAATGGATGAAAATATAAATATATATCGTATCAGCATTAGAGGAAAAAAGTGGATTAATATTTATGGGTTTAATCAATATAAAAATAACTCAAAATAATCATATAAATTGAAAATTTATTTTCTTAAAATTAATTGATTCCACCACGTAGAAGATTTAGTTCTACGTGGTGGATTCGGAAGTTGTCGAAAGTGAAAACGTCTAAAAAAAAAACAATATCCAATAATTTAAAAAAAATATAAATTATAACAAAAATATTTTAAATTTACTTTCTTAGCGGGGGTGGTGGTGGTGGCGCTTTCGTGCGGGACATTAGAGGCAGTACTGGCGGTGGTGGCGTTGTCCTTTTTACCGGATATCCATAAACACAAAAAATATAAAAGTATATTTATGTAAAAATAAAAATAAATTATTTTTCAACACTTGTAGTATTTATGTATACATACACGTACATTTCCCGCGGTGGCGGCACCGGTCTCGGTTCCGGCGGTATAACGAAACTGTAAAAATCAAAAATATTATAATACATTTAACTAAGTCCGGTCAAGATATAGTTCTATGTCACCAAAATATATTCCGCAACGTAGAGGATTTAGTTCTACGTGGTGGAATTGAAAGTTCAGGAAAATGAAAACGTCTAAAAAAACAATATCGAATAATTTAAAAAACATAAAAATATGACAAAAATATTTTAAATTTACTTTCTTAGCGGGGGTGGTGGTGGTGGTGGCGCTTTCGTGCGCGGCATACGTGGCGGTAATGCCGGTGGCCGTACACTTAATTTTAGTGGAAGTGGGGGCGTTGTCCTTTTTACCGGATATCCATAAACACAAAAAATATAAAAGTATATTTATGTAAAAATAAAAATAAATTATTTTTCAACACTTGTAGTATTTATGTATACATACACGTAAATTTCCCGCGGTGGCGGCACCGGCCTTGGTTCCGGCGGTATTACGTATCTGTAAAAATCAAAAATATTATAATACAGTTAACTACATAAAAGTAAAAAAAAATATATTTTTTCAATTACAACGTACCCATTCAAAATGGCCAGATGGCGCTTCCAGTATGCCGACTGACTCCTTGCGGGCCCATATTGAAGACAATTGAAACTGCAGCTTTACAGAATATCCGATGAATAGAATATGTATTTCTTTTTGCCATATTAAACTAATTAAATGATGAATATATTTAACAAGATTCTCCGCACCTTTTTTAAGTAGCTCTCCGGTAATCCCGTCTTCACCGGGCGCCTTGTGGTTTTTTATGGTTTTTATTTGTTTCGCAATTTCCTCGTAGGTTCAGGATACTCTTCCCTATTCGGTTTTTTATTCTCAAAGAGGAATGGATTAGAAGGTTCTCTACAGTTTAGCAGCTGGTCGAAGTATTGAGCCCATTCCTCAACTATGTCGTCTCTATCCGTTAACAAAGTATCATTTTCGTTTCTTAAAAACATTTCTTTTGGTTTAAAATCCTTGCTTACAGAGCTGATCTTTTTGTATAGGTCCCGTGTCCTATGGTTTTTATAGTCCTGGTCCGCACTTTTCACTATGTCGTTGATAAATTTTCGTTTCTCGCATCTTATAATTTTGGTTGCTTCTTTTAGTCTTGTTTTATATCTAGAGAATTTTTCTTCATTTTTAATATCCTTTAACCAAACTTCCCTCGCTTGCTTCCTACGTTGTAGGGCATTTTCGCATATCTGGTTAAACCACGGATTCCTCATAAATCGTCGTTTCCCAACTGTTTTTTTTGTCGCTTCGCGGATCACATTTCTTATAGCAGACCATAAGCTTTCGATATCATCATTCTCGTTATCTATATGTTCATTATTAAGCTCGTTTGATATATTCTTACAG